AACTTTATTTAAAGCAGAAGTGAAACTAGCAGCCTGTGTGAAATGTGCTAGGCTGTAAGTGTCTCTCTCATTCTGCACCAATACAAACCTGTGCTTGCTGCACATGTTTAGCTTGCTTTAAAGGCCAAAGTATATTTCAGTATTTTACGCGAGGGTCCACGTACAGTGCGCGTCATGCAAATTACATCACCAAAATAGTATGCGCGCACTCGTATAATGTATAACGAGTGGTTCCCTGCATTATTTTAGGAAAATGTTTTGTGATTACAGTATTGAGCTGCTGCAATGGAGCAGCTCTAATGCGCCATTAAAATTAACAGTGAAAGTAACAAAAGCTTATACGATACATTTTAACAGGTATAATTAAGTGTGGAAATAACTGGAGGTAATATCTGTTTGCTAAATGAAGCCAACTAACATTATTCATATTATTATTATTATTATTACTATTATTTTGTTTCTGTACCCAATATTAAAAAAAAAAACAAATGCTTTGAAAATACAGGTATCGGTATCGGCGAGTGCCAAAAATGAAATCGATAGCATCGATAGCATACATACAGTAGTGGTGGAATAAATTGTTAAAGTGTAGGCCTGTTTAAACTCTTATATATGCTATATATGCGTTATATATTGCAGTGCTCTCTTGGCAGGTCTTCCAGCCACTTCTATCAAACCTCTACAATTAATCCAAAATGCGCTGCAAGATTAATCTTTAATGAGCCTAAATTCATTACTTCAGAGTTATCTGCCCTCTAGAAGCTTGCGTTCTGCAAGTGAACGTCGCTTTATTGTGCCATCCCAAAGAAACGACAAAAAAAAAAAAACTAACACTAGCTTTCTATTTTTTCTATTCTATCTACTTGTTTTTCTTTGTGTGTGTGTGTGTATATATATCTCTTGCTACGTGTACTGCGTTAGGCTAACCGTAGTCTCGCGTAGCCAGACCTCCAGACTGACGGCTGAAGGTCTGGAATCCATGGCAGCTTTCATTGGCCAGAGCGCACCCATGAGGCCGTTTGACCGACATGTCAAACAACCAATCACAGTTCGTTTCGTTTCAGCGTCACGCTTCGGGGCGTGGAAATGTCGCCACAATAACAGACCGGTGTGTAAAACTGTCGGACATATTTTAAAGATTATGTGCCGCGAACTTTAAATATTTCACATACTTTTGAAAATCCAGCGTTTAGTTGATCCTGATAAGCGCTCGTTGTCACAGTTGTAAACACGACGGCTTTCTTCTTTCGTGAGGGGCTTTGGCGCCACGCATCTTTGTTTCCAGGCGGAACATTAAAGAACGCGACACACACGTCTCACGGAAATCCTGTATAATTCAACCAATCCGATGACGACTTCGAAACTCCTGAAGTGTTTCCACTTTTGTGTGCCGTATGCATCAGACGTTCAGCCAACAGTCCGTGGGCGTGACATCTGAGGCTAAGACTAGGCTAACCGAGACTTGCCATTTGCACTTACATATTGTTGCTCTTTTGTTAGTTTTGATTGCTTCCAATTTCCTCATTTGTAAGTCGCTTTGGATAAAAGCATCTGCTAAATGACTAAATGTAAATAAATACACAATATATAGCATCAAAACCCACTTCAAACCAAAGTATTTTTGTCCAACCTGTTATCATTTTGTCCAACCTTTTCAGCTTTAAGTATTATCATTCCATAATGTCAGAGAAAAAAAACAATTCAGTGTCAATTAAACTTTATTGGAGTATTAGTAATGTAGCCTACTGCCTAAAAAAGTAAACAAAACATCGTGTGTACATTTGTATTAGGAAACAGGAAAAAAGAAACAAGTTTTCAAATAGACAAAAGGACACATTTTCTAAGATGATATTTTTAATGTATGAGCATTGTTTTTTTTTTTGCTTTAAGTCTTTTGAAATTATTGTTAATTTGTCTCTTCCTGAACATTTTGGCCTTACATTTCTTAGATTTTGTTCATGAACACTTAAATGTATTTGCCTGAGCTTTGCCAAAATTATTTTTCAAAATGTTTTACATCTATCATGACATTTTCTGCAGACTCAATTTTAACGCAATCACAGACTTTTGTGCCATTCCTGGAAACAGTTTCTGTTCAACTGAAGACACAAGTGAACGTCACAAGCCTGGCATTTCCAAGGTGTCTGTTGCTTCTTTCCATGCACTGCTTTGCAATGCACACAGATCCGGCGACCAACAGTAGCAATTCTTCTGACGTTTGAAGTCAGCTCAGCTCCTGGAATTGGCACATGGTCTGTGCTAAACTGTTTTGGTGCTGCTTTCTGTGACACGCCACAGAGCTCTGTAATAAGCTCTTCCATGAACTGATCGTGAGTCATGTTGCCGTGCAGCTCTTTGTGCAATATGAAAGCATTAGTGGCAGCAATGTCCAAGAAGTGTAGGAAGATTTTTCTGTACCACTTCATGGTTTTGTGCTGCGCAGCGTAGTATTGCAACAGCTGATCAGACAGGTCAACACCCCCCATGTGCTGGTTGTATGCAGTCACAGGTGCAGGACACGGTAAAATCTTCGTCTTCCATGTATGTTGTGCTTTGATTTTCCTTTGCACGCGCTCTCCTGTATAGGCAGCATGGATGGTGGAACAAACAGACACCTCTTGCGTGTCCATCCACTTCACACACACAAGAGGCCCATCCCGAATCCACCTGATGGATCCCCTGCTGGAGTTTCTGCTCAGTGAATTAGCTGCAGTCTTCGGGAAGTCCTTCCTCTGGTCTCTGTACGTCCCACAAGCACCAACCTTCAGAGCAAACAAGTCTGTGAAGAGCTTTGGACTTGTGTAGAAATCATCCATGTACACATGATACCCAGAGCCCAAAACTTTACGGTCCAGGAGAGACATCACAGCATCATACGAAAGCCCACGGTCTGTGGGAAAGCTATTCTTGCCCGTGTAGACAGAGAAGTCCACAGTATATCCATTTGAGGAGTCTGAAAGGACAAAAAACTTGAAGCCCAACTTTGTCGGCTTGACTTTTGTGCGCCGTGTCATTCCTGTATTTGCTCTGCATGCCACCAATCTCTCCTTCACAGCTACATTTCTTCTGGGATGATAGAAGGCTTTGCACGCAAGACGAATAGTGTCCATGAGGGGTTTGATCCTGAACAGACGGTCATGTTGGGCTGTGCCCCTCTTTCTGTCGTTTTCCTTGTCTGCGTCTGGGTGACTCATGTGCACATTCCATGAAATGGTGCGGTATCTGTCCCGTGGCATAACTGTGGCGGGGAAAGGCAGAGAGAAAAGGCTGTCCTGCCGCCAGTAGTCAGCGATGGAGCTCATCTTCACCGCGGCCATGTAGAATACGAGTCCGATGTAGCGGTACAGCTCATCAACACCGACATCTCTCCATCTGTACTTGCGGCCCTTTGCAATTGCCCTGGCAGCCTGAGCATTTGTGTTGTGGCACAGCTTTGCCACGGCGCTCTCTGTGAAAAACAGTTTGAAAAGACTCATGGGAGAGTGCGAGTCAGCAGCAGACAACAGCGGTCCAGGTTCCCGAGCAGGCAGGAATCTCAGAGTCTGTGCAACCCGGTCAACATCAGTCTCTGCTTTCCACGAAAGAGTCCCGGCTCTCTTTGCAGCAGGCATCTGGTCGCTGTCATTCTCACATCTGTTTAAAAAAATCAATAATTAAAAAGTGAGCATGGTGACAACAGGAACATTAAAAGAAGCAATTTACAAACGTGTATACTTTACATTATGTAAGCATTTCTATATCTGACAGTATACAAGCGAAATTAAACTGTAAGAGGTAAAAATGGCGGGTAAATGCCCACTTACTCTTTAAGTTTCATAGAAAAGTGCAAATAGTTTGTAAACATTGATTGTCCAAGGTAACAGCATGCATAAGTGATGGGCAATTAATGGATATATAGGCCTATCGAGACGCGCTTTATGTCTGTTGATGGGGCATCAATATCCATATGTAAAGCACTTTCAAAACATTTGCACCTAAGCAGATATTTACAAACACAATTCGGTTCCGCTGAAGAGGCAGTCAACACGAATCAAGTTAACCAAAACTAGACCGAATGGGCTAAACATTCATTTTATCGTATGTTACATTACAGAACGTTCACATGGTTACAACGTTTTATAAAACCGTTCAATATAATGAAGAAAAAAGGACAATGCATTTCAGTCAAGCTAACTAACTGATTTCAGTCTGGCAATAGGTCTTAAACAGCTTTATGATCATGCCCTAACTAATAATAAGAAATATGCGGCTCTAATAACTAATCGAAGTTAGAATAAATGACTTACTCATTAGAAATTGTGTCCTCCGCAGCATCAAATCGCTCCTCGAAATGCAGGAGTTCATCATCAAAGTCTTCCTCTTCTTCTGAGGAAAAAGTACATTCTTCTTCGCTGTCTGTGGTCGTCTGGAGAGCTTCCTCGAGTGCCATCGTGATTAAAAAGTCAACAAAACTGAAATGTGCTGCCAGTTTTATAGTACTGAGGGGCGTTACCCATGTATGGCTGCATCAGATCATTACCATATGAATAGAGCGCTCTTCGTGCAGGGCAGGCAGATCAGCGTTAAAACATTACAGCCAGGGTGCGAACTACGGGAGAGCTAGGGGCAGCTCGGCTCCCTTAAAGGGGTCATATGATGCTGCTAAAAAGAACAGTATTTTGTGTAATGAAATGTGTTTATGCGGTTTAAGGTTAAAAAAACACATTATTTTCCACATACTGTACATTATTGTTTCTTCTCTATGCCCCGCCTTTATGAAACACGTCGATTTTTACAAAGCTCATCGGTCTGAAAAGCGAGGTGTGCTGTGATTGGCCAGCTATCCAGTGCGTTGTGATTGGCCGAATAGCTCAAGCGTGTGACGGAAATGTTACGCCCCTCACCATACTGTGGTGCCGTGTCCGGCCGGAGCGACGAGACAAAAACATTAAAACCCATTATAAACGAGGCATTTGTTGCATCCAGTGGGGACATAATTACGGATTATAATGACTTGTACTGTATTTTTACGCGTTGCATCGCGCCGCGTAAACATAAAACCATGTCTGCATTTGTGATCGGAGAAATGACAAACAACAAGCGCTAGTCTACACTGCCCAAAACTCACGTTTGAATCGTCAGTGGCAAATTCTTTAAATATAAAAAACTGTACTTACAGTCTGTGAGTCAGAACAGCCGGCATTGTAGTCTACTCTCCCAGGATCAGGAAACAGTCCTCCATAAAATGTGCTGCACACATCTGAATATTTGGGTTGAACTGTTCTGGAACAGTGTTGTAAATACAACTTAACCACTGATTTCTAGTCGTGACCTCGTTTGGAAGACCAAACAAAATAGTTTCACTTTCACAGCGAAACAGCATTTTTGTATGTAATGGAAAAGTGATTATATTTCGTTTAGTTTTTTTTTATAAAGTAAATTTAGAAAAACGTTTGGAACATTTTTTGTTCGTTAATATGTAAGTTGTTTTTTTTAAGTAACGGCCAGCGGCAGACAGTGAATTGATCATAGCCTATATGTTTGATCAATTTAGCCTTCTCAAATCATCACAACTTGCCTAAAATAAAATCTCTATATAAAACAGTTCAAGCATATCACAATGTTAGTTTAAGTGTTTAACCTAGGTAAATGTGCTGTGCTGTTAAACGCATATCCAATGGTTTGTGCGGAGAGTTGAAGCTAAAGCGCGCTCAGCAGCACATGGAGGCGCTAGCGCTATCACTTGCATTTTTTCTAGCAGTGGAAACAACTTAATACGCAGTCATTTTTGCTCATAAAGGTAATTTCTTGCGCTTGAAACACGATTTACACCTTTACAAAGCTTCTGTTGCGCATGCAAATTTAATTTACGCTTACAGTCTTATGTACACTTCCACAACTCTTACCCTGCGTATGCAAATCTTTTTGACGTCATTCTACCTTCATAATTCTACCTTCATACAAACGCTGCTGTCGGGCTTGAACAGGAGCGCGTCACAATGCTGAACCTAAACTCCGCGAATTGCCTCACAGACATGATAAAAAAATATATAGAAAGCTTTAAATTACTACTTTAAAACGAAATAATTCAAATCGGAAATAGAAACTCTTTCATTATGTAATCCCTGCATTTCTCTCTAAGGGCACATCCAATGAGGAGATGGCAAAAAAAAAAAATTAATCACCAACTTGATGGATATCTAAAATATAAAAATAAGGAAAAGCCTAAAACAGGCCCGATTATAATTTGCGTTTTATTTTATAATTCCGTACAATTAAAAAAATAAAACACAAATTATAATGGCATATATATAAAACTTTGTCCTATAATTGTTTAGTTGCTTATATTTTCTTATTTGTATGTTGTTCTGTTCTGAATACCTTCAAATTTAAAGGATTTGCTTCAACGCAATTTTGTCTGAAATGTAAAGGATTTGCTGCAACGCAATTTTGTCTGATATGTGAATTATTTATTAGCCTATTTTTTTTACCCATGCAGCAAATGCTTTAAAAACCGCTTTAAAATTACTTTATTGCATTCCAGACGCTTTTATAGTACTTTTCCTTATACATTTTACGGGTAGCTTGAATGTAAACATTGTCATAACTTCGTTGTATTCCCATTTGTAAAATAGCCAACAAATGAATTGTTGTAGGCCAACCCGATCTCATGAAAGTGCGTAGTATAGCACGATTTTCTGCTTCTATTTGGCATAATATTTCTATGCAGAAATTGACTTTGGCATGCAAAAAAACGGATAAATTCATAATTAATGGCATAGCTGGTTCAGTCGACAGAACAGGACACACAGGCCTTTTTACTTTTACTTCACTACATTCCAAAGCATAAGATCGTACTTTTTACTTCACTACATTTCATAAAACATATAGTTACTCCTTATAATATACCACGTGCTCTGACACGCAGAAGCGGTGTCTGATTCATTCACAAACTGATTCTTTTCAATTAACCTTTTAAATCGGTTGGCAAATCGCACCAAACGATTCATTCACAAATTTGAATGAACTGATTGCAGCTGTTCTCGAGTCGACAACTCACTGATTTAAATGAACCATTTAGTGCGAGTTTTCGGTGAACTGAATTCACAAGTAAGAACCGGGAGATAGTGTGAGCGCATGCGCGACTGATGCTGCTAAATGTAAGTTACTAATGTCGAATTTTAGGATTAATTAGTGTAACTGAAAATCATATTTAGGTCAAAACTGTCAGTTGTTTGTGAACTAAATCTGCTGTAAATGGTGATCTATTTCAGCCCACTGAAATGCTTGAATACAGACACATCAACATCAGTGTCTCTGTTTTAGGTCAAAAAAACCCCCGAAACATTAAAATAACAATCGAGTACTTTTGTTCTTTCACTCGAGTAAAATTGAAAAAGGAGTACTTTTACATTTACTGGAGTAATATTTTATTCTGTACTTTTACTCAAGTACTTGATTTGTGTTCTTCGTCCACCACTGCTGTTCTTGTCATGAGCATCAAGGTGTGGAGGCAAATTCCACTCATGTTTAGTACAAGTTAACTCAAGATTCGTAGAAACAATGTAAACGTTGGAGGCCGTTGATCTGCGCGCGAAGTCCTTGAAATATGTAAGATTTAAAAGTAGCATTTTAATTTAAGTGTATTCAACCGTTCTCTGTAATCACTTTTCACAGTAGCGCTAATTCTCTTGCCGGTGTGTCGCCGAAGCCTGAGCCGGTGATGGGCTGCTGTTCGCGGGGGACACGGCCGGCCCTGGCCAATTTGCTGCCCTAGGCAAGATTTTACCTGGTGCCCCTTGCCTCACATTAACATTAGTGAATGTATTAACTAACCTGAACTAACAATGAACAATACATTTGTAACAGCATTTATTATTTTTGTTCATGTTAGTTATTGAAAATTAATCTCATTTTAAATTGTTTCCAGTGAAACTATAAAAATATATGTGCTGCCTAAGTCACATTATAAATCAAACACAAACAGCAAGAATAATGATATCTGGTATTCCTGCACAAAACTGTATTCATTTGAACACTTCTCTACTGTTTAATCTTCAAAATAAATTTGAAAAGTGTTCGATTTCCAGTAGATGGCAGCAATGTTCTACGAACTAAACTATAGCCCTTTCTAACGTTATCACCGCGAATTAAACTGAGAAACGTACATTGTAAAAAATACAATAAATCCCCATGCTACACAACTATAGCATAAACATATTATTGAAACGTATTATCATGTTACACGAAAACTGTAAGTGTACAACGAGGCTAAATGCGCCCGGGGTAAAAGGCGCCTTTGATATTATTTTCCTCTAAACCACTAGATGGCAGAAAAACATTCCAAAACATCCGCTTTTCAAGATGCACGTGTATATTTGTCTGATCCTTGACGCGATCGCGCGCAGCAGCACGAAGTTGATTTTGTGCTTACTTGATCTAATATTTTATGTTTTTTTAAAATGTTGTAGATGTAAGTAGCAAATTAGAATCGCTAAAAATTAATGCATATATTTTGAGACAAATGTCTTCTTCATGATTTTCAGTTTTGTTTAAGATAATTAAAGCAACAGTTTTTAAATAACGAAAGAATATGTAACAGCGCCCGCTGTTGGGGCTAAAGGCGCACAGTAATTAACATAATAATTAATAGACGGCTGACTTTTCCATTTGTTGACATGACACGGTTAGATTCAGATGGTAAATATCATATATTATGTTGGGTGTCCATATTAGAGATATTCACCATGTTTAGAATGAAAGCATCATATTTAAAAACATGATACAAAAATTAATACTTTTATTTTTCAAAATAAGCAGAAAATAGTACAAACGTTGCTAAAGTGATTGTTTTTAACAAGTATTAACTTAGACATTATAAAAATAAAAAAAGCATTATTTTAGCTGAAGTATTTGTATCAATACTGTGTACCCCGTGTGTGGGGTAAAAGGCCCCTCTTGCCACCTCATACATTTATACGATTTTTAAACAAAATAAACAACTTGAATGATTTATTTTCACACAAAATCTGTTGCTCCATTAATGTTCAATACAACGTATGTATTTTTTCTGCAATTATACATTTTAGGCGCAGTGAATAGCACATTTTTTCTTAAGGTGGGCCTTTAGCCCCGTTGTACCCTACGATTATGTTACAAAATTTCAGATCTCTGGAACTCCAGGCATTGTTATTACCCTATTTTAAACTTTTATACTAGGCTTTCTAGACTAGGCCAACATAAAGTTTGTTTACAAATGTTTACCTCATCTGGTTTATTGATATGATCATTATCATTCACTACATCACAATAGCTCTGTCTTTGTCCCGTTTTTTCTTCTTCTTCTTCTCTTCTTTTTTTCTTCTTCCCTGGGCACCAGAGGGCTTCAGTCTTTTTGACATAGTGATAATTTATTAGTGAACATCTATCACAATCGGCAAAATAACCCAG